AATAAGATTAAAGAATATAAAAAAATTTGGCATATCATTACCTAATTTACTCCTCAATGCAATTATACATCATGACTCATTAGTAGGCTAACGTATATCATGACCCATTTTGGTGAAAAATTGTCAATATTTTTGGCAAAAAAATTATTTTATTTATATTTTGTGATTCATGAAAGATCAGTCCTCAAAATTTGATTGTTACCAGAAGCAATGAACAAATGTTGATACATCTTATTATTATTGATAACTTTTTTTTATTAAACAGCAACCACAACTGAACGATTTTTATAAGTTGGGCTGACTTTTTTTAAAGACGTAGCTTTATAGATGGCAACCCAAACAGTTGTTCTATCTCAGTGTGATGAATTCCTTACTACATTTTATGTAATACTAATGAGCTTTTTTATTGATAAAGCATCGTATGCTGGTTACGGGCTATATAATCGCTTTTGCTATCAATATTGAAAGTGGGAACCGATGTCACTACTGCTTGACACCACTCTAATTACTGATAACTTGTGAACAAAAATATTAATTTTTTGTTTCCTTTTCTCATTGCTCGAAATATATAATTTGTCGCGCACAGTGAGATCTTTGAGACAATCGAAATTATAGGGATGCACTTATTACAGGCAACTGGAACTTCAATGGAAAGAAGAACCTGATTTGCATAATATGTAAAGTGTTGTAAAGCGACAGATATAAGCGCTTAACTGGGAGCTAGTATATATTTATAATATTATCATATCAGGCAACGTGTTATTATTCAGTTAAGACTAATAACTTAGTTGTCGCTAGCCGAGGAGGAGATCAGATTCAAGAGAACTTTGCTCGTTGGTGAATAAATGGTAAAAATACAGTATTATTGTTTGTTAGATGTTGCATCAAGGTTGTTGGATATTGCCATATATAGGGACCAGTTCTGCTCTAAAATAGACCAATGTTATGGCAAAGCTAGTTTACCGTTTCTCATATAAAATGGAACTAAAAGCTGTCAAAATGTTATGTGGTATTCAACCAAATGTTAGTGATTGAGTTTTGCTTATAAAATAAACCCATTTTCCATTATTTGCCATCGCAACTTTTTCTAAATTTGACGAATGTATTCATCGTGCCTCGATTCTGATGATACCTAAGTATCCGTGTTTGGTTTAAGGCGCCACTGGTTAAATATCTAAACCACGACCAGTGTTTCCTGATTGTCCAATTAATTCATGTTGACTTAAACACAATTCCGCCATCTAAGGCAGCATTGAAGTGCTTCCCGTCTTTCATTTATTATAAGATCATCTTTGGAGCAGCCCACGCTGGACAACTACTGCTATTCCGAATGCGATTGTCAATGGACCTCTCTTTACAATGTTTTATCGTGTGTAGGTCTAACGATAAGACATTATTCATATATTCTGTTCTATAAACACACAACATGACACTTGCAAGCTTTTTGCTTGTTCCTTGAACGGAAAACATAAATACGAATAGGATGTACCTACTTATAAACCTGCTCAGGAAACTCTCATAATAGTCATAATTGGATTGATACTGAAAATCGAAAAAATGGAATTGATTTTAAAATATCATGGGGGAGAAGTCTCATATTATTAAAAAAAAAATTAAAAAATGTCGAAGATCTTTTTCAAGTTCAGAAAAATAAAATAAAAACTATATATTATATAGTTCTTTGTTCAGTTCATGAAAAAAGTCTCTGTGATTTAAAAAAAAAAATGGGAGACTTCTTCTTTAAATCATATGCCCTAAAACTTAACGTCAACCAAAACGGGGTGATAGGATTGACTATAACCATCCTAAAAAAATTTACATGTGCAATTTAAAATTACGAGCTTTCGTCAAATCTAGAGCTTTGGTTAAACTGTAACTATATGTCGGTTATTGTGGTTAGTTATCATTATTTATCATAATTGGATTGATACTGAAAATCGGAAAAATGGAATTAATTTCAAAATATCACGTATATAAATAGTTTTTATTGTACTACTCTAAACTTGAAAAAAGTCTTCATGTTTTTATTCGAAATTTTTTTTAATGATACCCGCTCCTAAAAAAATACCCGCGCAATTTTAAAATTATGAGCTTTTGTCAAATCTAGAGCTTTGGTCAAACTGCAACCATATCTTGGTTATTCAGGTTAATTTTCATTATTTATCATAATTGGATTGATACTGAATTAGAAAAATGGACTTGATTTTCATTATGTATATATAGATTTTTTGTTATTGTTCTGGGCTTGTAAAAAGTCTCCCAGTTTTTTTAAAAAAATAACCTGTGCAATTTTAAAATTATGAGCTTTAAGATAGAGCCTAGAGCTTTGGTGAAACTGTATGGTTGTTACTTTTCATTATTTTTGTTCACTTAGACTTTGAAACTATAAATAATGGTTCTAGGACCATGGTTAGGAATAATGATCAAATTGCCGATCTTAAAAATAATTTTGAAAAAAAATATCTGTGCAATTTTAAAATCATGATCTTTAAGATAGAACCTAGAGCTTTACTCAAACTATAACCCTATGTCGGTTATTGTGGTTAATTTTAATTATTTTTGTTCGCTTAGGCTTTGGTGATTTTCTTCGAATATAACAAATAATTCACTGTTCATAAAATAAGGCAGTTCTTAGATATTGTTTTATAAATTAACGAATTTAGGTGATCGAAAGTATTTTATATTATTTTGTATTTTTGATCGATATGAAGGCAACGATCTTCATGGCATTGAGCTTTGTACAGGCTTTTGTTTTGGGGGTGGTGAGCTTATTTTGAGCTTATTTTTTCACTTCAAAAACTAAAATCCCCGTGGTAACATGAAGATTAAATGAGTAATAAATATATACAATCTTCGTTGACACATCAGTAATTGTGATAAGAACTTGCAACAAATACATCAATGATACCAAAGTTAAAATAAAACTAAAGTCATTGAAGACGAGCTTTTTACACGAGCTTTTTTACACTTTTTTACACTATTTATGATCATGATTACTACAATAAAGCTCAAAAATTATCTATCCA